TCTGGTGTCTCTCAGCGGGGCACGCCGGTGGCCTGCTGCCTATTGCTAGCACGCCTTGGCACCCTGATGCCTAGTGCCAGCACTGGGTGTGTGCTGGTGGCCGGCTGCAACTCCTTGGTGCAGGTTGGCGACCTGTGCTCTGTCATCAGCGTGCACCAGGAGCTTGCCGCAGGTCACCAGCGCACAATGGCGGTCTGCCAGCTGTCGATTGCAAGTTCTGGCGGCCAGCTGGCAATCGACGGAGGACTGTGGCTAGTCACTGGTTTGTGATGGGGGCCAGCCCCCTGTCAACAGCACTTGCTGCCGGTCAGCTGCCTGTTGTCGGCATGCACCGGCAGGCAGCCACCTGTTACTGGCACATGCTGGCAGCCTGCCATGACTCCCCAAAATGGGCTGGCATCCTGTGGTCTTTCGGGGCACACGTCGGTGGCCTGTCACCTGTCGCTGGCATGTGCCAGCAGCCTGCTGCCTGTCACTGGCGCAATCCAACATCCAGGCTCATGTCGCTGGCACGTGCCGGTGGGCAGCTGCCTGTCACTGCCACATACCGGTGGACTGCTGCCAGTCGCAGGCATGTGCCGGGGCACAGCAGCCTGTCACCAGCACATGTTGGAGACCTCTTGGCTGTTGCCGATGTGCACCGGCGGCCTGCTGCCTATCATTGGTGCGTGGCGGCACCCGGCCGCCTGTCAACTGCGTGCACCAGCGGCCAGCAGCCTGTTGGCACTGCACACCAGTGACTTGCCCCCTATCGCTGGTGCATGCTGGTGGCCTACCGCGTGTCGTGGGCACATGCTGTCAGCCTGCTGCAACTCACCAGCATGGGCTGATGGCATGTGGTCTGCTGCCAGCCTACCACCTATTGCCAGCGTGTGCCGGTGGCCTGCCCCCTTTTGCAAGCAAGGGCTGGAGGCCTGCCACGACTCACTGAAATGGGCCAGCATCCTGCGGTCTGTTGGGGGCATGCACCAGCATCCTGCTCCCTGTCACTGGCACATGCTGGCAGCCTGCCACCTGTTGCTGGCATGCACTGGCAACCAGCCACCTGGTGCTGGCATACCCCAGGGCCTGCCGCCTGTCACCAGTGCTTGCTGGCAGCCAGCCGCCTGTCGCTGGCACACGCTGGGGCATGCTGCCTGTCACTTGCACAGGCTGCTGGCCTGCCACAACTCACCAGTGCAGGCCCGCAGCCTGTCATCTGTCATTGGCATGTTTCAGTGGGCTTCCGTCTATCGCCGGGGTGCGCTGTCAGTCTGCCACCTGTCCCTGGCATGTGCTGGCAGCCTGTTGCAACTTGCTAGCGCAGGCCGGCAGTCAGCGGCCTGCCGTCTATTGCAGGTGCACGCCGTCAGCCTGCTGTAAGTCACTGGCGCACATTGGCGGCCAGCCGTCTGTCGCCAGCGTGTGCTGGCAGCCTGCCGCCTGTTGACAGAGCATGTCGGTGGCCACCCGCCTGTCATCAGTGGACAACGGCAACCTGAAGTCTGTCGCCGGCATGTGCCGGCACACTGCTGTGTGTCACTGGCGCATGCCAGGGACCTTTGACCTTAATTCAAGCACTTCAGAGGCTAAGGCAAGAGGATCACAAGTCTGAGGCCAGCCTGGGCTATGTAGTGATCTCAAGGCCAGTTTGCATCACATAGTGAGACTCTGCCTCAAAAAACAAAAACAAACAAAAGACCAAAACAAAGAGAGTGCCAGTCCTTTTCCCAGGATGGAAGTGATAAGATGTAGTTTCCAAAGCTGCAGTTCACTGCCCCAATCTTTTCTGGTTGTTTAGCCTTTTTTGGATTTCTTGAGTGAAATTTTCCCTTTCACTTTTATCTAACCACGTTCAGATTGAGTTTCTATCCTTTACAACCAGGAGCTTCAGATAACATGAGCCCCACAAAGCCACAACTAAACCAGAATACCTGCTAACCCTGACATACTTTCATGCTGTTTGGTCTGCCTAGATTGTTCTCAGTTCCCATATATCCACCATCAACTACTCAGTCTTCAAGGTCCCACTTATTAACTATCACTGATCTAGCTATTCTTCTGGAATTTCTTTAAAAGGAAGAAAAGGAAAAACTTTTGTTATTTATCTTCTTAGCACTATCACAGTGCCTGGCCTGGATAGCACTTTATAAATGTTCCCTTTTTCTTTGGCTATTCCCAGTTTCTTTTTTTTTCCTTTTTCCCTTCCTCAGCATCAGCATCCTATTTGCTGCTGCTGAATGAGAAAATGTTCATGTGTGTCTACTCCATAGTGGTGTGATGCAACAAATTGCTGTAAAAATAATATATTTAAAAATGGTTATTTGGGGGCCAGGAATTGAGTGCAACAGTGCCTGCCTGGCAAGCATGTGGTCGTGAGCTTGATCCTCAGTACCAAAAAAAAAAGGTTATTTGGATTTTAGTGTGCAATATATGTACCATTGTAGCCTTCTGATTGACATGTTTTGAAATTTTGTTGTAGTTTTTTTCTTGTTATCCTTTCTTTTCTTTCTTTTTACCTTTGAATTAAAATGAATTTGGAAAAAAGAAAAAAAGAGAAACATTCCAGCTTTCACACACACAAAAAAATGGTTATTGCATTGTAGGCTTAAGGAACAGCTACGAAAGGAAGTTTTTAATTGTTTAGATGGTAATTTGTCTTGATATATGTGCTATTTCACTTAGGATATAGATTCTAAATAGGAATACTTATAAGGTTTGCATTTAGCTAGTGGGAACTCTAATTTCCAAAAGAACTACACTCAGTCTTGGGGCTCTGTTTTGAGTATCACTTTTTCCCTTCAAATCTCTTTGGGAGATCAATTGTCTGTTAGCCAGAAAGGAGGTAATGAATGTGTTCTTTTATATTAGATCCATTTAACAAAAATTTTAGGCAACAGGCAGGTGTTTTCAGAGCATGTAACTTTGTATATTTAGCTGTAAATTCCCAGCTCTAATTCTGCCACCTGGATGAGGTTCTTTGCTGCAATCTCTTTTCTAAATTCTGAGAATATTTTTTTTTTTGTACACCTTCTTTGAGTCCATATTACGTTGTTTTGCACTGATGGTTATTCGTGTGCAAATCTATCTTCTAAATTTTAATTGGGCATGGGTTTGGCCAATTTCAAAGTTTACTGTATATAGAGAAAACTGAAATGATTGCACGCTCTTTAAAAGATGATAGGTTCAAGAGAACCTATGAAATTGCCTATCACAAATCTATAAATGTGAAGTCATAGAGAACGTCTTGCCCTTTTTGATAGTCTGCTTTTCTGGAGGAGCTGTAACAGAAACAAGTTTCAGAAGTGGGGCACCTAACCTTACAGTTTTGCTTATGTAGTCAATAACAAATATAGGGGGACAGAATCTACAATTACTGATTATTTAGCTCTCTTTTTATGGATATTTATCTACAGCTTTAAAGACACGCTCTACCCCATGGGCTGGACATACTTTGTACAAGCTGTACAGAGTATGTATATATTATACATAGTAGTCATTCAGCGAATGTGAGGAAACAACCAACACACTTTCTTGGAGTTTCTTTGTAAGGAACATGATGATAAATGAGTGATAATAGCTATCTTGGGCTGGGGACCTGATCCTGATAGAGTGTGTGCCTTGTATGTGTGATCCCTACCATAGGGAGGAGGTAAGGAGTCTTTTTATTTTTTTTAAAGTCAGTCAAATTTAGCAGTGGGGGGGTGGTATACCAACTTTAGTGACACTAATGTTAATAAGTTCTGATAACCCACAGCCATCGGACCAGCCTATTAGTCTTTTTCATAAATAAACAGAATTTAAATAAACCGTTAGTTTTAAGAAAAGGTATTATTGTCGTGTTTTGGAAATGTTTCTTGGGCTCTCATCTGCAGTATTATCTGGACCAGAAAGACTGGCTAAATGGAACTATTAGGGACTAATCATGTGAGGTGGAATTCATACTACTCTTCTGGTGTTTAAACACAAGCTGTAAGAACAAAATGTTTCCTATTAAGATACCACTGATTTTTCCCTCCATTAATCTCATCTTTAATGGGTGTATATAATGATTCCATATCAATGGTGCTTTTCTCGTGTTTTAGATGTGAGTTTTATTAGAACAAAGCAGAGTTCACAGCCCACAGCAGAGCAATTTTTGGGGGTTACTTTGGAGTTGATTTAGGAATCACTGTTCATGAGATTGCTGGATCCTCCTTTATAAGTATTATTTTCCCAAACCTCCTTCAAAAAGCCTTTTGGTTCTCTTTGCCCTCCCTCTCGCTTGCTCCCTGGCCCACACCCTTAATATTTGTACTCTGTTGATATAATCTTATAATTATGTTTTCCTATTTCCTTCAGCTGGATCCTAAATACCTTGAGGGTTATTTTGTGTTTTACACAGCACCTGGCTGATGATGGGCATTCAACAAAGATCTGCCAACGGAATGAATAATCATGCCTCGCATTTATATAAGTGCTTTATGCTTATAAAATACTGTACTTTATTCTTGGACTATCTTCATACTTTTTGGGCAAGCAGAAATTCCTTGTGTCACTCCCATTCGGAGGTGTGAGACCAGGCTAAGAAATGCTGTGGAACTTGAGGACCCACAGGGTGCAATTTCAGGAGACACCAGGACCCTTATTTGTGAATTCCTTCTCCGCAGCTCTTTTTGGTTTTCAGAGCTATTTGTCTCCTGAGTCAAGTGACAAGGACAAAATGAACAGTCCTGAGTCCTTTTGAATGCTTCAGGCTGGGCCTCCGGACTTCCCTGTTGCATTCTTTCACTTCCAACATAGTAATAATTTTTACTTAGGAGCTACCCATTTCCCATTTGTCGGTGAAGGATTAAAAAACAGTCTTCTTTAGAATCTCTAGTTCTTCTGCCTGGATGTGGGACTACAAAATATGGCATTAAGGTAGGTAGAAGAAATAAAGGTAGGTAGAAAGGAGACAAACAAGGAAATTGTAATTTTGCAATTGTATTTTTAGGAAACTGCAGTTTTAAGATACAATAGTTACCAAGATTACAATACTATTTTTTTTCTTTTTTTTAAATTTTATTTAAAAGGAAAAAGAGAAAAACACAAAACAAAACAAAGCGGTGTAAGGGTATACGTAATACAGAACTACAAACAAACAACAACAACAACAACAAAAAAACAGTAAGAAATCACCTGTTAATAGATTACATATTATCATCTTAGAAATAGTTGCTCAAATCACAGTATCAAAGAATACAAAGTGGACATTCAAACAGAGAGACTGCAAACAGCTGTGTTCAATGATCCAAAAACATTAATATAGTCAGCTATTTAACACCCCTAAACACACTTGCTGTTATATCCATTAGAGCTCATTTTTTCCCCCTCTCTTTTTTACAACAAAATTTACACATTTTGGATTTTATTACTCCTTAGTTCTTATTACTTTTTTGGGGGGGAGAGAATAAAGTCAAATATGGTAAAACAAAGCTGTCAGTCAAAACCAAGGATAGACATAGCACATGATGTAAAACAGTACAAGGTTATCAACAATGGTTATCAACGATGTGTCTTGTTTCCTTAAAAAGAATTGTCTATCTCATTAGATATTATAAAGTTGAACAAAACAGTAGAGAACAAGACCAATAAAACTTAGGCATTGTAAACATTACAGGACTTCCAAAGGAGACAATAGTCAAACCAGAACGGGCTTCTTAGTGAATCTTATTGCCTTCGAAGTAGTTGCTTATACCCTCAAACTTGATACTATCATACAGAATGGAACAGAGTCTAATCAGTCAAAACAAGATCATGGGAGTATTACAAGACTTCAAAACAAGTTAATAGGAAATCAAAAAGAGTTACTATTATATATCCTGCTAGTTTTTAAAAATTTTCCCCTTAATTAAAACAAACATAAGAAATAACTAAATAATTTTTTTAAAGAATAAGAGAGAGATTGAGATAAAACAGGACATAACAAAATAACAATACAGGTCAAAGCATGACTGTTTCAGCAACCTCGTGCTTCACCACCAAATAACCCGACTTAATAGTAGTTACCATAGTGTCTGTCTTTTACAGGGAGGGGAGATGCTGGCTTGGCTTCCAGGAGTCCTAAGCTCCAGCATGGCGTGGATCTCAGGAGACACTGCTAGTTCTCCCCCTTGAAGGGCTGCAGTGGGCTAAACTACCGCCGCTTACCAGGAAGGGGAGATGCTGGCTTGGCTTCGCAGAGTCCTAAGTTCCAGCATGGCGTGGATCTCAGGAGACACTGCTAGTTCTCCCCCTGGAAGGGCTGCAGGCTGCCACCCTGCCTCCGCTTACAGGGAGGGGAGATGCTAACTTGGCTTCCCAGAGTCCTAAGCTCCAACATGGCATGGATCTCAGGAGACACTGCTAGTTCTCCCCCTGGAAGGGGTGCAGTGGGCTAAACTACCGCCACTTACCAGGGAGGGGAGGTGCTGGCTTGCCTTCCCAGAGTCCTAAGCTCCAACATGGCGTGGATCTCAGGAGACACTGCTAGTTCTCCCCCTGGAAGGGCTGCAGTGGGCTACACCACCACCACTTACCAGGGAGGGAGGTGCTGGCTTGGATTCCCAGAGTCCTAAGCTCCAACATGGCGTGGATCTCAGGAGACACTGCTAGTTCTCCCCCTGGAAAGGCTGCAGTGGGCTAAACTACCGCCACTTACCAGGGAGGGGAGATGCTGGCTTGGCTTCGCAGAGTCCTAAGTTCCAGCATGGCGTGGATCTCAGGAGACACTGCTAGTTCTCCCCCTGGAAAGGCTGCAGGCTGCCACCCTGCCTCCGCTTACAGGGAGGGGAGATGCTGGCTTGGCTTCCCGAGTCCTAAGCTCCAGCATGGCGTGGATCTCAGTAGACACTGCTAGTTCTCCCCCTGGAAGGGCTGCAGTGGGCTAAATTACCGCCATTTACCAGGGAGGGGAAGTGCTGGCTTGGCTTCGTAGAGTCCTAAGTTCCAGCATGGCGTGGATCTCAGGAGACACTGCTAGTTCTCCCCCTGGAAGGGCTGCAGGCTGCCACCCTGCCTCCACTTACAGGGAGGGGAGATGCTGGCTTGGCTTCCAGGAGTCCTAAGCTCCAGCATGGCGTGGATTTCAGGAGACACTGCTAGTTCTCCCCCTGGAAGGGCTGCAGGCTGCCACCCTGCCTCCGCTTACAGGGAGGGGAGATGCTGGCTTGGCTTCCAGGAGTCCTAAGCTCCAACATGGCGTGGATCTCAGGAGACACTGCTAGTTCTCCCCCTGGAAGGGCTGCAGTGGGCTAAACTACTGCCGCTTACCAGGGAGGGGAGGTGCTGGCTTGGCTTTGCAGAGCCCTAAGTTCCAGCATGGCGTGGATCTCAGGAGACACTGCTAGTTCTCCCCCTGGAAGGGCTGCAGGCTGCCACCCTGCCTCCGCTTACAGGGAGGGGAGATGCTGGCTTGGCTTCCAGGAGTCCTAAGCTCCAGCATGGCGTGGATCTCAGGAGACACTGCTAGTTCTCCCCCTGGAAGGGCTGCAGTGGGCTAAACTACTGCCACTTACCAGGGAGGGGAGATGCTGGCTTGGCTTCCCAGAGTCCTAAGCTCCAACATGGCGTGGATCTCCTACAATACTATTTTCAGTCGTAGACCTGTTTTTTCCTTTCTAAGTCTCTTGCTCCTCATTCCTAAGATTCTTTAAAATTGTGTATATTAGGCCTGTGCTTTTTTTTCCACAGTAGAAATTCACAAATCCCACAGATTTCTACCCTCAATGAAACAGCACTACTAACTTAAGTACCATATCCAAACTTTAAATACATGTAAATGGGTTGCATTTTAACCCAGGCCAGGAAAGCATGACCTGATACCAGATATACACACCCTGGATCATAGGTCTAGAGGATACTCCCCAGACCATAAAAGTATCTCCAACTCCAGACCATACCAGTGTGCCTTACCCTTGAGTGCCCGCACTCGTGTGTACTTCTTTGATTCTGTTTATGCTGAAAGGCATAATTGTTGGGGTTCTGCAAGCAAAGGGAAAATAAAGGGTCTCACACACACACAGCAAAATGGCTGCCACCAGGCCAGCCTAAGCAAGTAACTTTTATTGATAAAGAACAAAGAAACTCAAATCGCACATGCTTAGATTATATAACTTGTTTGCTTCTTGACCTTACAAGACCTCATGTTTTTACCTTGGGGTGGGAGCCATGTTTCAAGGCTACATTTTTCCCTATAATGTTATCAGCTGGATGTGTCTGGGACAAAATGGAGTCAGAGTGGCCTCTCTATATCTCCCCTTTCTTTTTTTTAGTTTAGGCTTTCTTACCATGTTAGAAGCTGGCATTTAGGTATGAACATTTTGTATAGGGATAGGTATGAACATTTTGTATAGGGATAGGTATGAACATTTTGTCTAGGGATAGGTATGAACATTTTGTATAGGGATGGGATGCCAGCAGATAAGGACAATAGCACCATAAAGAAACATTTTTTTTAGCCAATTGATGTCTGGAAACCATCCTGTAAGGAAATTCCATAATCCAGTATTGATCCCTTGGGACATATGTATCTGGTAAGTTCTTGTAAATTATGAAGTTTCCCATTGAATTTACTTTCCCATTGAATTTACTTTCATCAGACAAATTGAAACAGCACATTTGAGCAATTTCATTACATCCATGATGATGCAATAGAAGTAGATAATCAGTTGCAGCACAATTATCTAAAATGAATTGTTGGTGCTCACTTTGTTCTTTGTTTAATAATGCCAAAACTGTGGAAGTATAATTAATTTGCTTTACTATAAGACAAGCCTGTGCATTAATAGTGCGATTGGCCTTGGCTGCCAGAGCAGGCACACCAACCAAAGAAATACCTAAAGTATAAATTCTGTTTTGGTTAATAGGCTAATAGAAAAGTCCCCACATAGGTCAGTGATATTAGTTGTAGACCGTTTGGTGTGAGACAGTATAAATTCAGGGGAAGGCAACACTATAATAAGGTGACTAAGGCAGCATTTTGTATTATAAGTTTGCAGGGATATAACTGAAGATCTACTCTTCACAAGAGAAAAACCATCCAGCAGGGACAGGAACATGTCTATGTCTATACAATATGGGCTCATAGCTAGAACAATTCTAAGTACTATGAGGAAGGTAAAGATATTGAGTAGTACAATTTTCAGTATGAGAAAGAGGCATTTGAAGTTGCTACATATGGAGTGAACATTTTAACAGCATTATCAGGTTTTTTAAGGGCGGGAGTGCTCCATTTTGGATAATCAGCATATGTTACAATTTCGTTTGGAATATTGGAGAAAATGATGTAATTACTTAGAAAGGCAGGTCCTCGCAAACCGGAATCAGACAGGACCCGAGAATGTATTTTATTTGTGTCTTTTGAGTAAGACAGAAATGAGAGTTATTTTTGCCAGTTGAACCCAAATATTGCATTCCAATCTTTCTTGGAGGTTGTGGGACTCTATAAAGTCTCCATGGTGGGTTGTAAAACACATAGCAATAGAATACAAACAGGCATTAAAGAGTTCATTGCCAATTTGGTAAATACCGCCACAAGCAGCTTTTCAGCAGTGGGCTCCTCTTCAGATGCACGGAGCAAGCCTTGGGCAGAGTGGATCAGCACCTTTATATCATCCTAGGTCACTGGCTGAGCAGTTGTTGTCTTCGGTTGCTTTTGAAGTGGCAGGGTTTGATTCAGGGAGAGGTGAAACTGTGGAATTGGGTTGTGCAGCCCATGGTGCCAACTCATTCTGTGCAGGGCAACTGCAATGAGCAGGAATCCACACAGGGCCTCTTGGGGATATTACAGAAGCATCTCCTCTCACTCAGGTCAGGAGGGGCACCAGCCCCATCAGCCTGGGTCTGGGGGCATGTTGAAAGAAATGGAACCAACATAGCCAAAGAGACCTGAAGAGAAACAGTAGAGGACAGCAGAAAGGAGAAGTCAGCCTTGGTAAGTGGTAAAACAATATCAGTGAAATAAATTCCAAGGAGTATAAGTGCACAAGAATGTCCTTGAGAGATAAGAGAAGAAATAGCATTAATAATGGGAAATAAAGTACTACCAGGCGAGTGGGGTAAATGTAACCATCCAACAATAAATATCTTGCTGTTCTGGATGGCAATAAGAGCCCCAGTGGGCAAAGGGTTTGAATGAAAAATGAGAAAGGAGAGAAGGGTTAGGGTTGAGACTCGATCCACCCTAACTGTGGTATATGTGTGAGCAATGCTCTGAAGTGCCTGCTATAAAGAAGGAGAATCAAAGATCACATCAGTAGAGCACTGAATAGAGAAGCTAACTGTTGAGTGGTCAAAGGAAAATAGGGTCTTACCCAGTTAAGGTAGAGACAGCAGAAGTGGCACAGCTGGGAGGACCTGGAAATCACCTATGTGGTGTTCCATCTGTTTGCTGGCCAAAGGTTGCGATAGCATCCCAGCAGAGATGCCAGGTGTGCAGGGCAGAAATAGGGCTAGATAGGGCTGGGGATTTAGCTCAGCAGCATAAGCGCCTGCCTTGCAAGCAGGCAGTTGTGAGTTTGATCCCCGGTACTGATAAAAAAAAAAAAGAAATAGGGGCTCGAGGCTCCACATGCAGCAGTTTGCCTGTCTTTTCCCAATCCTTCATAATGAGCATTCCTCCCTCAGGGTACCAAGGACAATAATCATGAATTTCTCACAAAAGTTGTACTAGGGAGCTCATGGCCCACCTTCTTAAGGAGAAAAAGCAGTTCTGCCTTGTTTCTGCTGCACTTCAGACAGGGAATTCCCATGACCTACCCGGGAATTTTCTGAAGAAAAGGAAGTCAATGCATCGGGAGCCATGTCCCACCCCAGGAACACAGTGAAGGCAAGTCACTCTCCACAGCAGAAGTCTCCGCTGTTGAGTCCCCTATTTAGGTGCTAGAGGTTGGAGTTTTGCAAACAAAGGAAAATAAAGGGTCACACACACTAAGGGTCAGCAAAATGGCTGGTACCTGGCCAGCCTAGCAAGATTATATAATTTGTTTGCTTCTTGACCTTACAGAACCTCATGTTTTTACCTTGGGGTGGGAGCCATGTTTCATGGCCTACACTTTTCCCCATAATATCATTGACCAGATGTGTCTGGGACAAAATGGAGTCATTGTGGCCTCTCTACAACTGATGAGTCCTACAGTTCCACAAAGAGTCAAGAATCTGTTCTGTGGGCATGTGTTGAAATCCTTATCTTCTCTCTGGGGTGCCTCCTCAGATCCCAACCAGTGGGATGGAGGTGACTACCATGTGTGGGGGAAGAAAATGTGGGTTTGGTGTGGCCAGATTATGTTGCTCAAAGTACAATTAGCGCAAAGGCCTGTGATGCCAGAGCCTTGGGCTTGAGATTCCTCCTCCTCCTTTTTTGTCAAAAAGACAAAAATTTATTTTTGTCTTTTTGAAACAAGGCCTTGCTATGTAGTTTAGGCTGGCTTTGACCTCACTTGGTAGCCTAGGCTGGTCTTGAACTTCCATCAATCCTCCTGCCTCAGCCTCCTGAGTGCTGGGATTACATGTGTATACCATATGTCTGGCTCTACTCCTCCACTTCTATCTCTAATATTTTCTTTAAGGGTGATCCAGATAAAATGGAGTGGCAGAGCTCAGAGAAAGAGGCTGACTAAAGGCTCCAGCAGATACTGACTGAAGTATGGAGTGACATGCTCAAGGTAAAGGTGAGGAATAGTGGGGGCTTACTTGCTACCATTAGCAGTATTTAATTATTACATACAGTTTGACTCAAACTGTATTCTCTTCTCTTCTGCACACAACCCTGAGAGAGAAGGAACAAAGGAGGGAGTCTTTCAATTGGCCTTTAAAGCTCTGCACCTTTTCTTGAAAAGAGAATGAACAAAAGGAGTCCAGTGCAGTTTTAGATGTTCAAGTAAAAAAACAATGTTATGAATATTTGTGAGTAGTATAGATGACTACATCATTAGACAGTTAAATCGAGGATGACAAGAGTTTGGGGGTGTAATTTAATGTTAGAAGTAATACTTTTTTTCTTTTGTAAAACTGGGAGTTGTACTATGAGCCTTTGCACTGAACTATATATCTAGACTTATGTTTTGTTTTTTGTTTGAGACACGGTCTTCCTAAGTTGGAAAGTTGCCCAGACTGGGTTTGAACTTGCAATTCTCCTGCCTCAGCCTCCTAGAGTGCTAACAGGTATGTGGCATCATGTCTTACCTTAGTGAGTACCTTTGGTGCCAGGTCAAAAAATATGCCATTGGCATATATTTTACTTCGCAGAGGAGCAGTGTAGTAAGAAGTAACATAGTAAATTGGCAGATAAGGTTCAGAGACGTTAAGCAACTTGCTCACAGTCATGCACTTGGTGAGATTTCAAAATTTTCACTAGTGGCTGACAATGAGAAACTAGCTCTTGACTCTTGGACTAAAATGCCTCATACAATATACATATACACCCAATTTAACCATGGATAAGGGCTCCCTCTTCTGCCTCATTATAGTTTTTTTACATTCAAAACACATGGTTTTGGGTATTGTATTAATGTGTACCATCTTCTCCTGTCCCTGCCTATTTTGTCCCTGTACCCTCGCATCTGTTACACACTAACTGAGGGTCAGAATGTTTTGTCAAAGGTTCCCACAAAGGTGGACACCTAGGAGTGACAACAGGTGTAAGGATAGTCATTCAACAATTCAAGCACCCCGTGGACCCGCGTTAGGCGCTGTGGATACGATGCCCACGCTACAGTGCCCTTGCCCTTAAGGGGCTTCCCAGTGCAGATCCGGGTCACAACCCAGGATACAAATCACCTGCCTGAGTTTGACTTCCCCGCGCCCAGCTCCGGGTTCGCAGCGCTCGAGCAGCGCCGAGTGTAAGGCGCGATAAAGAGCGCAAGGGGGTGCGGCCACCAGGCTTCCCCAGTGTCCCTTCGTCCCGCAGCATCCAGACGCCTGGCTTTTTCCGCAGATGGCGAGGAAACCGGGGCGTGCCCGCCGGCCCCCACCGCTCCGGCCCTTTATGAAGCGCCCCCAATTGTGCATCCTCGGCAGAGTCTGCGTCGCGCGCGCTGACGGGCTGCTCGGGCTCCGTGAGGGCCGAGCAGCGGTCCCCGGGCCCTGTCAGGCGGGCTAGCTTTCCCCGCTCCCGGGCCTCTCTTGTCCCTTTCCCTCCTGTCCCATTCCCTGTCTCCCGTCCCCTCGGCGCGCATAACCTCCCTCACACTCCCTTCACACTTCTCCCCAACCCTCTTCCCTCTAGAGCACAGACTGGGGGCGGGGCGAAGCCTCCGGACCGCGCGAGAGTTCCACCCAAATCCCGCGAGATTCGCCTGCTGCCGCGGCTGCCGCCTCTTACCTCTTTCCCTTTGACAAGTCGTAGCCGCTGCCGCAAAAATAAAGGATGCGACCACCACAGCCGCTGCGGAGCGGGGCTCGGGTCGCTGGAGCCGCGCCCCACCTCCGCCACTCCACTGCCGCCCACGGTAACGCCTCCTTGTTTGCCTTCCAGCTGCTTGTGAAGGTGCTCGGCTGACTGGGAGAGGCCGCCCCGGGCCGTTCTGGGGCCGCCTCGGAGCGGGGCTCGCGGGGTCCTGGGTAGGCGGCGGGCGGAGCCTGAGGGAACCCTCTCGGCTAGGGCATGGGGGAACCCTGGGAGGTCTCCTGCGTCCGGGCCTCAGTGGCGAGCCGACTCCCGGGTGGGGCCGAGGGACCCGCCCCTCCATTTGATCCTTGTTGCTGTTACCCCAAATCACCTTTAGGGCCTTTCATCAGACTTCCTTTTCCTTGTTTGTAATTTTCTTAGTCTGCCTGCCTTGCCATAAAGCCCTATGGCTGGAGGGGAGTGAGAGTGTGTACACTGGAATTGAGTGATTTTTCTCTTTTATTTTTATTTGCAATTGTGGCATTCTATAATCTTCAAATTATATAACCAGTGTGCTTTGGTACAGAATTTAATTTTTTCCCCTTATATTTGAGTATAGAGAACACTTCCGGGTCTTCCTCATGGTCCAGGAAGTTTATATTTGTAATCCCTTGGAAAAGTTACTGAAATTCTAGCAAGTTAATTCCAACCTACCACTTCCAGTGCAACCCCTTACCTGCTATACAGAGTAGCCATGGAACAAGAGAACAGTTGACCTATGAGTTGATGGCTTGGACCAGGGTTGTAGCAGTGGAGTTGGGTTCAGGATATAGTTTGTGAAAATGGGGCTCACCAATGGAATGTAGAGTGTTAGGACAGATTCAGTGAAGGTCTTCAAGGATCTAAGTAAGACAGTGGTGGTGAACATATGGCATACATATTACTTGTTTTTCTTTTAAGATGAAAGATATTAAGGTATGATTTGTTTTTCTAAACTGAAACCTCAGTATTAAGGTTTAATTCCTGTGTTGGCACTTTGTGATATGTCAGTGGGCTTTGGGTTGCAGTTTGGGTACTGATTTCTGAAAGATCACCATCACTGGATAGTGATGGGATTGGGAATTATTGAGATGAGGGACAGATTTGAGTTCTAGTGGTGATTGTGTGGTAGATTAGGAGTTCAAATTTAGACATGTAGACTTTTAAATGCCCATGAGGTATCTATGTGGTGAAGCAAAGAGAATAATTGTATATATGAGTTTAGGGAAGAGGTCTTGGTTAGAGATGAAATGTGGGAGTCACGTGACATTAGAACCTGAAGGGAAAAGTATCATTTGAAGAAATCACTATTTTTTAAAATAATTTTTTATAAGAAAAGTTCCTGTATCCCTTCACCCATTTCTCCTTAATGTTAATAAAACCATGAGTTCATCAAAGCTAAAATACCACGATTGGTACAGAACCATGAATTCAACTCCAGACTTCATTTTCATTTCACCAACTTGAAATCACTAATTGTAATATAAGGTGGAAGTTTAGAAACATTTTACAAATCACTCATATAAGTTTTTGACTTTTCTCCTTTCCCCTTATAGAACTAATGGCTGAAGAATAAATCAACATGGCAACTATGGTTCCACCAGTGAAACTGAAATGGCTCGAACACCTGAACAGTTCTGGATTACAGAAGACAGTGAATCTATTGCTACAAGAGAGGGAGCTGCCATCCCGTTTTCTAAACTAGTCAGCAATAAGGATGTAGTACCTTTGCCCCAACAAGTTTTATGTCTCAAAGGACCACAGTTGCCAGACTTTGAACGTGAATCTCTTTCAAATGACGAACAGGACCATTATTTGGATGCACTTCTTAGCAGCCAGCTAGCACTAGCAGAGACGGTTTGTTCAGATTCTCCATTTGCTGGGGCGCTGCGAAAACGCCTGCTTGTACTCCAGCGTGTCTTCTATGCACTTTCTAATAAATACCATGACAAAGGAAAAGTGAAACAGCGCGGCATTCTCCGGAGAGCAGCTCTGGTGCAGCAGCTGTCCATTCTGTGAGTGAACGTCCTCGGTCAGGCACTGATGCACTTACAGAAATGGGTGTTCGAACTGGTCTAAGTTATTATTTGCACTTCTGAGACAAAGTTGGATGATGCCTGTGTCGGGACCTGGCCTTAGTCTTTGCAACGATGTTATTCATTCTGCAATTGAAGTTGTGAGCTCTTTGCCACCATTATCTTTAGCCAATGAAAGCAAGATTCCTCCTGTGGGTTTGGACTGCTTATCACAAGTAACAACATTTCTTAAAGGAGTAACTATTCCCAATTCTGGGGTAGACATTTTAGGTCGGAGATTAGCTTCTGAGTTGCTGCTTGGTTTAGCAGCTCAGCGAGGCTCTCTGCGGTATCTTCTTGAATGGATAGAAATGGCTTTGGGGGCTTCAGCAGTTGTTAATAACATGGAGAAAACCAAACTACTGTCAAGCCAGGAAGGAATGATCAGCTTTGACTGCTTTATGACTGTCTTAATGCAGATGAGACGTCCTTTGGTATGTACTTTAACTGTCAACTTTACTTACTTCTTTTTTTGGGTTTTTAAGGCAGAGTCTCACTCTGAAATCCAGACTGGCCTTAAACTCATTATGTAGCCCAGGCTGGCCTGAACTTGAGGTGATCCTCCTCCCTTAACCTCCCAAATCCTGGGATTATAGGTATGTGCCACCATGCCTGGCTGTAAATGTCAATTTTCAAGTTTGTAACAATTTTTGAGAAAGTCACACCAGCTTTTAGTGAATTAGTGATAAGTAAATGATTTAAAACTTCTTCTGGTGTTTGGTAGTTAATATTTATGTACTTTGTATGAAAAACTCATCCATGTTGATAAGTAAGGACAGACTAATTGGTACAGAATTAAGACCACTGGATTAGGAAGCAGGTTTACTGTTTTAGTTTCAAGATTTATGTGAGTGTGGGAAATTCATTTAACTTCTGAATACTTATAAACTCATGTAAAATGAGGGACCTTGCCAAGTTAATATGAAAGTCTTTCTAAAACATGTGCAATTTCGTCCTTGGTTCCCAAGTTTTGTTAATCACTTATGGTACAACAACTGTTAGTCTACAGCCTGGGGTTATAGGCCTGTGGGTGCTGTTTCTGCCTTCATAGAGCTAACAGTTGAGTAGGGTGAGAGAAACAGTACATACAAAATTTCAAGTAGAGAGAAGTTCTAAGATGAAAAATGAAGAACACAGGGATTAGAGAGTGGCAGACTCAGGGAAAAGGCTGTGAGGTGAAAGATGCGCTATTTTAGTCAGTGTGATTAAGGAAGGACTCTGCATTGTGACATTTGAGTGGAGACCTGAAAGAAGGGAAATGATGAGCTAAGCAGGAGTCTGAAAAAAGTATGTCATCAGAGGAAATTGCTTGACTGTCATAACCTTGCACACCATATTAAAAAACAAACAACATAGTGTACTATCTAATAAATTTCAAGAATTTTTAAGACTGAAATTAATACTTTTGTGAAAACCAAGGATAAAAATTTGAATATGAAAATACTAACTTGGAAGAGTAAGACTCAAATGTTTTTAAACTGACTTAATTCAGTTAGGCTACACTGTCCGTTTTTTTTTTTTTTTTTGCTGTTTTTTATTGTGAAATATTAACTAATGGATTTATTAGTTAAAACAGTTAAATATGTCACTAGTAGATTATATGTCTAAGGCCTTAGCCTACAAATACCCTTCTTATAAGGAAGAGATTACCTCAGAAACCTAGACCACTGATTGATAGTGTAAATTGCTCTGCACACCCAAGAAATCTTTATAGTAAATGTGTATACTTACTTATATGTTTTATTCTTCATTTAATTAGCCTGCAATATTTCATCCCAAGGAAGGAAGGAAGAGAATTCATTTTGTTGAGTGCCTACCATCCAGCACCACGTACTTTATGTGCTGTCTCATTCAGTTATCATGTTAAGTGTGAGGCAGATGTTAATTACCCTGGTCTTGAAGATGAAACAAATGTGGTAGCTTGGATTTACAAATACATTGAACAACAATGTAATATAACAGGTACTCCAGATTTAAGTACATAATAGATCAGGCATAATATTAAATAGTTCTTATGACCCTGAATCAGTCTGCAAAGCTTATTATTTTTTCTGATTATTCTATGCAGTTTTTATTCCATTTTTGCTAAATTGATTCATTTTTCCCCCATTAATGACGACTTTAAAAGTAGATGTAAAATATGTTTATTTTATTGCTGGATTTTCAGCTTTATCTCCACTTGGCCTCATTCTTGGGCAAACTACCAAGCATACCTAGTCAGAAGTCACCTACCAACTGAAGCTCAGAGGGCTTCAAGGCCATATAGTGCCCTGTAGCATAGCTCCTTGTTGGGCCACTGGTGTTCTAGAAAACTACATTGCTTTCTGTAGAATCATGCCTCTACTCTGGGGAAGAAATCTGTGTGTTTGATTTAATTTGGCTCTCTCAAAGTTACCTCTGACCTGCATTAGATATCAATTAAATTAAAACTCAGATTGGTTTTAGGGGAAAGGAATGGTTATTTAATTGAATTTTGTATTAGTTATTGCTCCTTGTGTAGCAAATGACTGAATCTGATGATGATCTTGATCTCCAGAACTCAAGTTTCTTACCCTCTACTATGTACTCTGAGAACTCAGACTACGTGAGCCTCTCCTGCTGTGTTAGACCCCATGTGACCTGAATGTCCTTACCATGAGTTTCTTGGCCTCTGTATGACTGGGATAGTATTTGAATTGTAAGATACAGGGAGCTGCACATAACCATCAGTTCATTACCAAAGTCTAACAAAATGAGTTAAATCTGTGAATTATGTTTATTTGTGGAATTCTTAAACTCAGCTACCCAAGTATATATTTGAGTAGGCACATATAAAATACTCTTTAAATAAGAGTAGAGGGAAAAGAAAGTTATTCATATTGTAATGTAAATGTACATCTTCAAATTCTAAAAAAAAATAAACCATAATATAAACTCCTTTGGCATTTGATGCCATTGAATGTTTACTGGAACTTTGTTCCAGATATTGTTAGGTGCTGGGTTTAAAAGCATCTGTGTCTTTACTTTAGCTAGATCGTGGTTTAATGGAAGAGGGAGACATACACATTTCTGGATATGGGGTGTAGAATGGGATGAGATGAGGCTGTGAGCTAGGCAGGTGCTATATCCCGTGATGTATGATTTGGGCACTTAACTTGTAGGCAGTGGAAAGTCACTGAAGCAATTTTGAGAAAAGACAGAACCTTAAGGAAATGTACTCCCTCTAGTTGTACATCCTTGTCTGAATACCTTAGACAAATGTGGGGGGAAAGGTATTATATTATTTTGGATGGTAATTATTTAAGACAAAGGTAATTAAATGGATACTTTAGAAATCACGACTTTATGTTGCTTTAATTTTTACGTGGACTATTATACTTTGTATCATATATTAATGGTATATGAAGTTACACATTTAATCAACTGTCTTGCACAACTTAATTTCCTTAAAGATGGGTAATTTTAGTTGTTTCTAGCTATGCAGCATATTTATAAAACACACAGTACTAACAATTCTGTGTAGAGTGGATTGTAGAGATGTCTCTAATCTTGACTGGGGTAGACTCATCCTCAACTAATTGACTTTTCTTGGAAAAGGAAATAAACTAGTGACAATGTGTATTACATGGAATTTGCAGAATATTTTATTAGTTTAGGTTTTTCTTTTATCTATTTACTTTTTTAAGTATTGAAAATCATAGGCCCTTACACTTGTTAGGCAAGTGCTCTACCACTGAGCTATAGTCTAACCTTGGTATAATATTTTTAAATTTAGCAAGAATTAATATCCTAATATTCTCTTTTTCAGTGTACATAATATTAAGTACTGCTGTCAGTTTTGAGATCTTGCTATGTGTTGGAAAGGCATACATGATCTGTCTTCCCAGTTGTATCTAAAGATGAGTCATGTGACTAGTAAGTATGCAGCCTAGATTTAAACCTAGATTGGTCACTATTGCTGTTTTAAGCATTGTCCTAGAAAAGTATGAAGGAGGGATTATAATGGCTTTGGTGCCAGCTACCATAAAGTTACAGCAGTTTGTTCCTCATCACTTGATTTAGTGATCACAAGAGGTTGCCTTTAAATAATGGAGCCACATATCACAACTGTGTTTTCCCCAGAAATGCTGTGCAGCTAATTAAACAATTTAGAGAGGTTGTGCCAAAGTATTGGCTGCTATAGCAATGCAATATATATCTAGGGACTGGTTATTTCCTGAAACATTCAGCTTTTTGTGTGGTTCCAGCCCTCCATGTCAAAATATGAGCCTCAGAGAGTAGCATGAGCATCACCTGGGATTTGTTAGAAATGTAGACTCTTGATGGTCGTGATGGTGCACACCTGTAATCTCAGCTGTTTGGGAAGCTGAAGCAGCAGGATCATCAGTGTAAGCCCAGCCTGGGAAATTCAGTGAGACTCTCCCAGTGAGATCTCCCAGTGAAAAGACGTAGGATGTAACTTATTAGTGTTAGAATGCCCTTGAATTTGACTCCCCATACTGAAAAAAGAAGAAAAAAAGCAAAATCTTAGCCCTGTCTATACTTCCTGAATCAGAATCTATATTTTAACAAGATTGTCAGGTAATTAGTATCATTAAAACTTGAGAAGCCCTTCCTAAAGTAGTTACGAAGAAAAACTGACTTGGCAACTGAAGGTGACCCAGTAATAACAGAAGTAGCTAAGTTGGGCACAGTGGCACACACCTATAATCCTAGTTACTGGGGAGGCCGAGGTGGGAGGATCACAAATTCAAGGTAGCCTAAGCAATTTAGAGGTCCCTGGTTAGAAAAACACGAAGAAGAAAGGAAGGGAAAAAGAATGAGAGAAAGGAAGGAAGGAAAGAAAAAAAAAAACTAGCTAAGTAGAACCAAAAATGTAGAGATGGCAGCATATTCTGTGATTGGAAGAGTCTGATTAGCTTATTGACAGCAAGCAGAAGAAAATAGTTATAAATGATAGTTAATGATGGGGTGGGGGGAACAGAGCCTGATGATAGGAAGGTTTGCCTATCAAGTGTTTTATCTCTGATCTTCACTGTCAACCCAGGCTTTACATTTTAAGTTTATAAACACTTTTGAGAAATGGGAAAGGGAGCCATCTATAAAGCAAGAAAGTACTGAACTGTTTAGCTTTGCTGGGGTAAGGAAAGTTGTCTGAAGGGTCATTTACTTGGGCTTCATTGTAGGAGTTTTTATTTTTCTTTCTTCTAGTACTAGAGCCTTGAGCTGCATCCCCAGCCAGTTTTATATTTCGGGTGAGGGTCTTGCTGAGTTGTTAAGTTCCCCAGACTGGGCTCAAGTTTTTGATCTTCCTTTCTCAGTCTTCCAGAGTACTGGGATCACAGGTGTGTACCACCACACCTGACTCCATTGCACGACGTTTTGAAGGCAGAGAATTTCCAGAAGAAAAGTTCTGCACTGTAACAGCTGTTGGAGAATTCCAAAATGAGTCCTGTTTAAGTGATACAAGGGTTTTTAATGTATGTATCTTCTCAGAAGATATAGGCTGATAGATATTTCAGCACTATAAGATGGATGCAGTGTTTGTGTCCAGTCCTAGCTATTCATGTAAGTGAAGCAAGATAAATGCTTGAGCTGAGGAGTTTGAGGCCAGTCTGGGCAATATAGCCAGGCTAAATTTTTAAGAAAAACAAAATAAAACAAAACACCATAAGTTGATTTTTTTTTTTTTTTGGTGACATAGAAGGCAGATGAATATGTAGAACAACAATGAAAGTTCTGCAAAACTTTAATGTGTTATGAAACTTTAAAAATTCTAAGTTGGTTGTGGTAGCACCTGCCTATAATCCTAGTATTCTGGGAGACTGAGGCAAAAGGATTGCAAGTTGGAGCCCAGCCTGAGCAATTTAGCAGATTAGCAAGACCTTCTATCAAAATAAAAAAGGGCTGGGAATATAGCTCAGTGTTTCTGGGTTCCATTCCCAGTTGCAAAAAAAGAGAAAAAAATTCTAACTAAACTTCATTAGAATTAAATACTATGGATATTTTGTTTGAAAACATTGATTGGGATTTTATATTTGGTTCAAAATAGTCATTTCTTTTATTATAGGAATTACAAAGTTGTAAGTGTAATATACTTTGCATTGATAAAAGCATAGAATGGAATCTTGCAGGGCATGTAAGTCAACTTTTCCTCTGTGGTACTTTCATATTGTATATCTACCAAGTAAGTAGTCATCTGATTATATGTTTACAATGTAGTATCTTTTGAAATAAAATCACAAGTGAAATTTTCACAATTATAGCATTGAAAAGTCATAGAAAGAACTTGACATTTGTGGTGAAATTTGAGGTGCCATGGATGTGGTTCACTTTCTACCATTTTTCATTAAGGTAATGATTTCTCTCACTGGGCCTTGCTATGGCAAACACGTCCCAGAGAAATTCTGTAAATCTTTTAAGTGTAGTAGGAAAAAGATGCTTTGTTGTTAGTGTAGACACAAACTGACTCCTGGAATATCAGTTATGCTGAAACTGAGAAGATAAGGATAGACTTTTGCCTCTCTGGATCATTACTGCAGATGGCTGTATTCTACTTATCTGTATCCCTTGGGGGAGGAAAGTAAGACAACCCTGGGGGTTCACAGGAAGTTACCCAAAGAACATTTTACTACCTGTTCCCTTCTTTTTTTTGCCATTTTTAGAGTCTTGTGACCCTTTGAAATGAATCAGTCTTTAATAAATGAATCATGGAGAGATTGGGTGTTAATTTGCCATCTGACTCAATAACCAGGCCTTTTATAACACTTATGTGTAAAAGTTACTTTGAGATCAAATGTTAGGATTTGGTTCCACTGTGCACAGTCATATAAACAGTCCTCAGGGTTCCGTGGCAGAGCACTTGTCTAGTGTGTCCAAGACCTTAAACACAATCCCCAGTACCACAAACAACAAATGAACAAACAATAAACAAACATGTAAATAATTCTTAAAATAGACATTGTTTGCATGGAGTATTTTAGTGATTTTAAATATATTATCTTCTCCTTCTCATGCTGTATCCTGCAATGTTTAATTACAGGGGTCATCTGCTGATTGGATTCAGTGGAGAGAACCAACCAGAACATCTGATGGCCCGAGCTCACTCTATGAGGCAGCTTTATGTCTCTTTGAAGAGGTATGTAATCATGGATTTTGCATTAAGTATTACTTCATCTTTAAATACTATAGCATGTACTTATCCATTAAAAACATGTATTTGGAGAAGGAACTAAAAGTACAATCCAAAAGAAAGGCTCCAAAAGAAGGTGGCATGAGTGATTGCCTCTAGAGAGTTGGATTCTAAGTTGTTTGGGCCAGGGGTGGGAAAGAAATATTTTCATTGTATGTTTTTTGAATATTGAATCATGTACTGGTAAATTTAATTGAGAAACTTATTTATTATTATTTTGTCTTTTTGAGACAAGGTGTTGCTGTGCAGTTCAGGCTGGCTGTGAGCTCATTTTGTAACCCAGGCTGGTCTCCAACTTGAAATGATCCTCCTGTCTCAGCCTCCCCAAGTGTTGGGATTACAGGCATGTGCCACCACACCTGGCAAAATTTTTTATTATTAAAGCAGATACAGAAGGACATACACATGTATGACTCAAGGGATTATTAAATAAACACCTTTTTAATCTGTACTCAAATAAACAAATAGAATTTTCCTGGCCATGGCAGAAGCCTTTCACGTCCTTGTCATAACTTCTTTCCTCCTTCCCTGAACATAATCACTAACATGGCTTTTAGACTAACAACTTCCTTGTGGTTCTTTGTAGTTGTGTTGCTCAGGTATGCCTCCCTAGATACTAGTTCATTCTTGCCCATTAAAAAATAGAAAAGTTTTCAATCTCTGAATCGATACATCCTTTTTTTCCTTCACTGTATATGTGCAGTAACTCACTTAGACTGTAGATTTTCCTAGTCTGTATTTTGCTGATTGACTACTCTTGAATCAGTTCAGTGTCTTTGTCTTTTGAGTTGCCTGCAGGTTGGCATCTGGATCCAGAGGCTCAGTCAGTCTCAGGTTTGATTATTTGGTAAGATACATACATGGTATTGTGTTTTTTCATCTGGTTTCATCTGATTACCTCTCTTTGTGGTGCTTAACAACTAGATCTAATTGATTTGTGGTTAGTTGTTATGGTGTTTTAATTCTATTATTTTTTTCATTTATTAGTAAGAATGTTTTTATAAAGAGATGCTTTCCATATCAACTGTTTGATTACTCTGCTATAGCTCATGCAGGAAAGGCAGAAAAGATGCTTGACTCTCCCTACTTACTTGTATTTTCAATTTATTATTACTGTTACTATTATTATTATTATTATTTGATACTGGGAATCGAATTCAGGACCTTGTACTAAGCAGGCAGTTGCTATGCCACTGAGCTAAATCCTTAGCCTTTATTTTCAATTTAATGAACTGACCCTTTATCATCCTTTTAAGCTTGATTAAAAACTTGATTAAAAAATATATTTTAAACTTGTAGACTTAAACTTGAGTGTTGAATTATTTGTGGTCAGTGTTGCTTTATTTAGGCCTGTTGTCTTGTCTTGTCAGGGTGGTAATATCTTCAAAATTTTTCTAAATTCTTTTGACATAAGGCTGCTAACTCTTCAAGAACTTCTTTGCTTTTTGATACAGCATATTATTCTTGGTGCACCATGTACATTTCTTGCCCTGGGTATAAACTTGATATTTCTTCAAAAAGGCTGTGGTTTTGTTATTGAGAATTGTTAATTTCAATACCATGATGAGGGTGCTAGAGATGCTTACTGCTAGTGAGTTGATCTTAATTTTTTAGGCTTTTCTAATAAACAGAGCTAGGAAATTGTGGTGTGTTGTGGGATGTATGCCTGTGTGGTATATTTAAAGCCAAAATACCTCTGATTTAGCCTTTTTTGTATTACATTTACATCTTTTTTCCTTCTAACTAAAATTGCTGATTTTAAAGGATATAGGGATGATAGATTTAGAGTATCTTATAATTACTGATTTGTTTTAATCACATTATGCACACAAATGCACACATAAACATACACACAGCTGTCCTAAAATAATAATAATTACAAATATTACTTTTTGGTGATTACTGAAAATTAACTTTGTAATGTTCTGCTTTATTGCAGTTGTACTTAGAATATGTAGTCATTACATACTCTGTATTATGTACTTTTAAGCCCTCATTTAGTATTAGTTCTGTAAGTATATATGTAATGCTTACTTCTGGTCTCTGTAATCTTTTTGGTTGTTTGAAGCCCATTTTGTAGTAGATTTTAAAAAAACTCAGAGGAATGATAGTCTCGTAGTTTTTGTATATTGATAATTGCTATGCTGTTTACTACAAAAAGTTCGGGAAATAAATTCTCTGATTCGCCTTTCTTCCCCCACTTTCTCCCTTTGTCCTTCCTGCCCTCTGTGCCTTTTTCTTTCTCTCTCACCCTTTGTCCCCTTCTCTCCTTTGTATGTCTGTCATTCTGTCTTTTCCCTTTCTCCAGGGAAAAGTACTGGAGAGCCTTTTCCCTTTCTCTCCAAGTACTGGAGTTTTGAATCTAGGGCCTTTGCATTGGAGTTTGAATCTAGAGCCTTTGCACTGAGTTTGAATCTAGGGCCTTTGCATTGGAGTTTGAATCTAGAGCCTTTGCACTGAGTTAGAATCTAGGGCCTTTGCACTGAGTAACATCCCCAGCCTTTTTTTTTTTTTTTTTTTTTGTCCCCAGAGTCTTGCTGAGTTGCCCAGGCTGTGATCAAATTTATGATCCTCTTGACTCACCTTTCAAGAGTGCTGGGAAAATAGGCTTATGCCACTACTCCTGGCTTTACATTTTTTTTTCTCTGTATGTTGTGTTAACCCAATTTCTTTTAGCATGATGAGTTGCTGTCTTAAGACCAAGTCCAAAGATAATCTTTCTTTTCTGTGAGTCACATGCTTGTTTTGCTGAGAAGTCTTTTGCAGAACATTTTTTTCTTGTAAAGATCAGTAATTTTACTAGAATCCATCTTGATATTACTTGTTCTGGATATGGTCCTAGAGTCATGAGAAGTCAATATGTAGTTTCAAATATTTTTAATTTCAGAAAAATGTCTTTAAATTATATTTTCTAGTATTAGTTTCTTTGTATGTTTCTTTCCAATTATTTGTAGGTTAGATCTTTGCCTAACAGTGTCATTTATTCTTAAACTTTTAAATATCTTGTTTTTTAATTTCCAAAAATACCTTCTTTTTCATCTTTTGTTCCTTATAATACATTGTCTATTGTATTATTTACTTCTGTAGTTTTGCTAGTTTAGTCTTTGTTTTGGAAATATTTTTTATTTCTACTTCTTTATTAAATATGTCACTTCATTTTTTAGCATTGCCAATTCAAATTTGTGTTTTTCTGTTAAATTTCATTTTCGTAACCCCTTTAACCCGTTGTTCTGTTTCTTTTTTTGGTACTTGGGATCCAACTCACGACCTGGTGCCTGCCAGCTTGCCAGGCAGGTGCTTATGCTGCCGAGCTAAATCCTCAACCCTCTTTAACCTGTTTTGAAATAAGTTAATTGTTTTGTTTTGTAGACATTTTTCTTGTGGTGTGTTTTGGATGTTACTATGCTCCTTTTCCTTTGCTTTTTAAATAACAACAGGATTTGACCTCAGTCAGCACTTTAGTGTTGGTCATTATGTGAAATTACTTTTCCTAAACTTTTAAAATAGGTTAGGATTCATTACATCTTTTCTAACTCTATAGACCCCTGCCCTCATGTTATTTTTGCACGATTTTGAGAAACAATGGTGTCTTCCCAGCTTGTTCTCCTTCCCTGCTTTTACCTTCATTCTCTCCATCATTCCTTGCACTTCCAGGAGTTTCTCATCAGTGTGGGGCTCTCTTCTAGAAACAAGTCCTGAAGCTGGTTAATTTTCAAGAGTTCACAGGAGCTAGATGATTATTTTTAAAAAACATTTTAAGCTCTGTGAGTAGTTTCTTCTCAGTGTTGTGGAGAGCAGAAGTATGAGAAGGCTGCGTTTTTTCTTGTTTATAAACCGTATTACAGTAATCTGTCTTTCAATGAATAGTTTTAACCATCGTGGCCCCACCATCTTTTTGTCACCAGCAAAATTTCCTATCTTTTCTTGGGGATGAGGTGTTTTCACTTACATATTATTTATTGTGTTCTTAGAACTGTCTTCATGTTCACTGGAAAATGCTTGTCCAACTTGTTGTTTTGCATTCTATTTAAAGGTTCTCACTAAAATTATTCTATCTTTGCCCACTTAATGTGCACGCAAACTAATATAGTGTCTGATTTCAAAGATTCTTCTTATATTGTCTTGCTCAGTTAGGCAAAAACAAAATTAAAAAAAAAAACTGAACCAAATAGCGTCTTCAAAATAGCTCTGGTCACACTGAAGGTCTTTATTGTATTGAGTGCATACAAGTCAGTAAAAAATCCATTAACCACTAATAAATAAGTTTACTTACTATAATGTGGTAAACAAATAGATGGCAAAATTGTGGCCCTACTGATAATAAGGACATGTGAGATTAGTGGCCTCTCCCTTTTTTTCCCTGAAGTTGGCAAACAAAACCCCCAAAGCCTAAAAAAACAGAACACTTTCAAAAGCACAATACACATCAATGGTGTGGGTGCTGTAGTGACATTGGTACTCTCCCAAAGACCCGTTCCTGTGCTTTTGATGAGAAATTTAGATTAAAAGCAAAACAGAACAAAACAAAACATTGTGACTAGCAGAAGATTTTACCATTGTATTCAACACAAACGGTAAGTAAGCCATGCCTTTTATTTTGTATATGAGTTTGTGTGTGTGAGTGTGTATGTGTTCAATTGCTCTGGACTCGCATGTTTTGAGGATGGCCTTTCTTTGGAACATTGCTGGTAGCAATGTTATAAACATTTTGGGGAATAGTTTGCTATAGTACGTTTCAAGAATTACAAGATTGTAGGATTATTGTCCTTTTTTTTTTTTTTTTTTTTTTGGTCTTTTTCCTTTCTATCGGTACCGGGGATCGAACCCACGACTGCCTGCTTGCAAGGCAGGTGCTTATGCCACTGAGCTAAATCCCCAGCCTCTATTGTCCTTTTTTGATATACCACTTTTTAGATTCTCTACTAAGGAAGTTATAAAAAATATAGTAACAGTTATATTCTTAAAAATGGCCTATAAAATAATGAAACAATTTAAATCTTATTAAAGGTAAATGGTTAAATAAATTATGATTTTTGTACTGAATATTTTTCAGTTGTAAATATTATGCAGACAGTAAATTTTGCATGAGCTTTTGTAATGTTTGTCACATTTGTATAACCATAGTAATGACTGTGTTAGTATGTATATAAAAAAATTCCAGAATGACACATAAAAAAGATAACATTTACTATATTAGGGTGATGAGATTATCAATGGTGGTTTTCTCTGTGTTTTTTAAACTTTATTTTTTTATAATGCTGTTGTATTCAGTAATAAAATTTTTTTATAATGCTGTTGTATTCAGTAATAAAATGCTGTTGTATTCAGTAATAAAATTCCTTTTCCATTTTGTATTCTTACATGAATATCTTTTAGTGATTTATTCTGTGCAAGTACATATTCTAGTTATCTGTATTTAATACTAAATATGTAAGACTAGATGTGTTATTCTTAGGTTGAGCAGTTGAAAGTGGAAGAAAGGTAACAGTAATTTTAGAAAATATGCATAAAATGCCTAAACTAAAAATGTTTTGTTTTTTCCTACTTTAAACTTTATAGGTTTGTAGAATGGCTTCTGATTACTCAAGAACATGTGCTAGCCCAGATAGCATTCAGACTGGAGATGCTCCCATTGTCTCTGAAACCTGTGAGGTTTATGTTTGGGGAAGTAACAGCAGTCATCTGTTGGTAGAAGGCACACAGGAAAAAATACTGCAATCCAAACTAGCTCCCAGTTTCTCTGATGTCCAGATGGTAAGTTCCCTGCATACTTTACAAATGGCTTTACACTTGTTTTCTGTTAAGAGTATCTTTTAAATGAATGAAAATTCTTGATTGTTTCTTGTTTATGTTGTGTTAATGCCATACTGCATCAGTTTTTCATTTTAGTAGAAAAATGCCTTTTTGATCTCCCAAACACTTCACACTGTTTCCAAGGTTCAGAAACTAAATTGAGATTTGGATTCTTAGAAAGACTTTTGAATTGAATAGACTTTACCATTATATTCAACACACTTGGCAAATAAGACTAAAGAAAGGCTAAAGACCTTAATTTTCCTTTTTCTAGATAGGCATTTCATTTTCTTATTATGATTACTTTTTTTTTTAACATTTGTAGCTCAAGCAAGAACTTCTATTTTATTATTTTAATTGAAATGTATTTTTTTTCTGAATGAGTTTAGAGTATGTTCTGTATGGTTCTTCCATAGTTTCCCTAAGGAATTTATAAGAAAATTTTATTTCTTTTCCTTCTCGAACTATAAAATGAGACTAAAACATTTTACTTTGTTGTTTCATTTAATCATGAGTTGGTAGATGTTTTAGTTACTTGTTTTTTTGAGTAAAATACCTGACACCCCAAATTAAAAAAGAAGAGGTTTAGTTCAGCTCCATTTGTAGACCTTTCACTCTGTAGTTGGCTGGCTTCAATGCAGGGTGGCACTGCAGAGGGACAGCATAGAGGAGAAACAGTCTGTAGGAAGCAGAAGGCAACAAAGCAGCGGAGCGGGGAAGAGGCAGCTGCAGAGGTCGAGGCAGCTTCTTTCTGTCTCATTATATTCCCTCCAGGCTCCTGCCTTTGGGGGATGCCACTCACACTTGGTGGGGTGCCCTTCATCCCAGCATTACATTTTTAATTCCAGCACCATACACCCTAATGTAGCCACCATAGAAACGCTCCACCTATGAGTACATGAGGCTTTGTGGAGACATGAAGGATAAATTGGAAGGATAATATAAATGTGAATTTGAGCTCAAAGATGAAGTTAACATGAAAATACTGTTAGTATTTCTCTACTTATTCATTTTTTATGTATATTCATGCCATATTCCGCTAAGCCTAACCCTAACTGTTGAACTTCTTTGCTAACACTTATTTTAAATATTATACCTTGATACCCACAGAAGCATTTTATATTGTCATTGTGTTCATTTGTAGATTGAAGCTGGACAGTATTGCACTTTCGTTATTTCTACAGATGGTTCGGTCAGAGCTTGCGGTAAAGGCCGCTATGGGAGACTGGGCCTTGGAGATCTCCAATATAATCAGTCTACTTTATAAAAGTTAACCTTTGAGCCTCACAGGTCCATTAAAAAGGTTTCGTCTTCTAAAGGCTCTGATGGTCACACTTTAGCTTTTATGACAGAAGGAGAAGTCTTCAGCTGGGGAGATGGTGACTATGGGAAACTAGGACATGGAAATAGTTCAACCCAGAAACACCCCAAGCTTATTCAGGGGCCTCTTCAGGGAAAGGTACGTGCGTTGTTTTTAGATTAAATTATTAGATAACAGTGGTATTGTAATTGATAGTATCTTTTAGATTTTGATGTATTTCTGAAGTTGCCCCTCATCCCTTACCCTTTGACTTAAAATTTTCTGTATCTGCTTTATAGTTTACAGAACACTTTCATATACAGTATTCAATTTTAATTCTTTATGAATGCTTTTAAAGTTTTTCTTCTCTTTCTTTGAGATGAGGTCTTGTGCTATTGCCTGCTGGCCTTGAACTCTGGAGTTCAAGTGCTCCTCTTGCTTTAGCCTCCTGTGCATTTCAACTCTTAAGTGCACATCATTGCTCTTGGCTCAGTCTTAGTTTGTGTATTATTATAAGAATTAATTTTCATGTGAGGTATTTTTCCCCCATTTTACTGATTAGGAAACTGGGAATCATTCATTCAACTACTATTTATTTGTTTCCAAGTGTAGTGCAGTGTTTTTAGGCATTAGAAAAATGCTGTGTTCTCAGACAGCTTTAGTCTTCAGGATAATTTCAGGTCTGGGGATTTAGCTCAGTGGCACAAGCACCTGCATGGCAAGTGCGAGGTTGTGAGTTTGATCCAACAGTACCCCCCCCCAATCAGTTATAAAGAAAAAATTGAATAGTGCAATAGAAAATAACTTAGACTAAGCATTATATGAGGGATCAGGATTTTCTTGGGAAAGGTTGCATTTTAATAGACCTGGATGAAGAAGTATTTAGAATGGTTAAGTAATTGCCTAGAGTCTCACAGAAATAATTGATACCACAAGAAACTGAACCTAAATCGTATATAAAGAAAGCAGGTGAACATATATGCATTCTTTCTATAAGTGTTTTGCATTTTTTCTATAAATGCTTGGTTACATAAAAATCTTTGTGAAATCTAGCCAGATGTGGTGGCACGTATCTGTAATTCCAGGACTCTGAGAGACTAAGGAAGGAAGATCACAAGTTTGATCTCAGCCTGGGCAGCTGGGGCTACCCTGCTTCAAGGGGGAAAAAATGTTGGGTGTGGGGCCTTAAGGATATAGGTCAGTGGAAAATCCCTGGATTCAGTGCTCAGTACAGAGGGGGAAAACCTCCACAACTTTGGAAAGTCTAAATGTTAACTTTATACCAGTATTACTAGTGGCACACTTTTCCTTCATAAGAGATTTTCTGATCTGGTTGGCTAGCAAATGAATTTTACTCTCTCATAATTTGCATTATTTTAACTTCTATAGCAACCTCAAGGCAAAGGGCCTAGGAATATTGCACTCTGAAAGCATCAGAGGATACTTAATGACTTGTTGAATGTTAGGTTCTATGGAGCTTCAGATAAATTATTTGAAATTGTATTTTCTTGGTCTAATACTTCCTTAATTTCATTAGTTATATTCCTTTGAATGCCTCATTTTTATAGTGTAAATATTTCCAATTAAAAACAATAGTGTGGACTTCCGGGAGAACATGGCGGACAGATAGCAGCAGCTATGGAGGCTCTCTGAAAGAACCAGCTTGGAATTCAGGAATGGTGCGGAGTAAGGAGTCGTGAGCAGGTGGAGATATGCCCTGCTGACCCAAGAACGAACTGGGCTGAGTGCAATCCTGGTGCTATAACAGGAACAGAAAAGCCTCAGTGTGGAAGCTGGAGCCCGTAGCATTGGAAGCCTCGATTTGGGTTTCCCGCCGCGCAGCGGCTGCATCTACATCGGCTTAGCAGGGAGAGAGATGCGCGGAAGCTCTGAGAACGGGAATCGGCGAACGGAGTTGAAAACAGGACGGGCGGGGAGCTGTGCATTGACTTGCGGTGAGGTGAGTGAGAGAAACTGATACTCTTCCCACGGTTTGGGAGACTCCAACATAGGACATTCTGGGACTGGGCAGACTTGCGGGAGCAGGGCACTGCGGCGACTTCAGCCACGTATCCCCCTCTCAAGCGGGATTGGTGAGAAGTGACTAGCCCACGTGACGCTGCTGGCTGAGACCCAGTGGGCTAGCACAACCCAGATCCCAGAGCCTGAGGGTGACCTGGAGGGGCGGGCCCCATATATGCTGCCTGGTCTGCAACTTCTTGGTGTGCTGCGGTGGGCGGGAACACCTAGCCGGGCGCAATTCAATTAGACTGTGGCTGACAGGAAAGGAAGCTGGGCCTCCTATATACGCTTGCATATATAAGGAACAAAGAATATGGGAAGAGGGAGCAACAAGAAAGGCCCTTCAGCCCCCAATCCTGAGAAACAGGCAATAGCGGACACCACACCAATAGACATAAAGCGCCATCTAGAGAGCCTCATAGATCAGTTCAGGAATGAAGTTATTAATGACCTGAAGCTAGAAATAAGCAGAATAGTTAGAGAAATGCTAAGCACCACCCCCCCCCCAAAAAAAAAAACAGATGGTGGAATGGAAGATCAGAAAAAGAGGGGAGAATTGTTTGATGGAGAAAATAGAGAAAGCATAGAATACATGAAGCAGGTTCAAAGGGATTACCAGGAAACTAAAAACTCTATCGAAAACTGGCATAACAGCTTGAAAGAAACTAAGGACAGACTGTTTGAACTGGAGGGCAGATTTGTAATATGGGAGAATGAAATGAAAAACTTCTTAAAAGTAACAAAGAAACAAACAGCAATAATACAAAGACTAGAAGATGATAAGAGGATTCATAACTTAAGAATTAAGAACATAAAAGAAGAAGTAGGGACACAACTGAACTACAAAAGCTACTCACAGAAATAATCCAGGAGAATTTTCCTAATTTAGCAAAAGGTAAAGATACTCAGTTGTATGAAGCATACAGGACCCCAGCCATCTGCAACCCAAACAGAGCAACACCCAGGCATATAATAATTAAAATTCCAGAAATTCAGTATAAGAACAGAATATTAAAAGCTGTCAGAGACAAGAAACAGACCACTTACAAGGGAACACCCATCAGAATTACAGCAGATTTCTCTGCACAAACCATCAAATCACGAAGAGCGTGGGGGGAAATAATTCAAGCTTTGAAAGATAATAATCTCCAGCCAAGATTGATATATCCTGCACAACTATCTCTGGAAATTGATGGAAAAACAAGGTGCTTCCAGGATAAAGAGGAACTAGGGGAATATGCAACCACCAATTCAACTCTACAGAGAATACTACAGGATATTCTAAAAAAGAAAAATACAAAGAATCTAGAAATAGTGGCAGAGAGGCCACAATGAATGGAGCAGAAAACAAAATGAAGACAAACTGACAACTAATGACAGAAAAAGAGCTCAACAGAAATGAAGCAGAGAAGATTGGATGATAGGAACAGCTATTTTGGAGAAAGTGATGTCTTAATAGGTAATACTGATTTAGTATCATCTTGTTTTGAAGTCTCATCAAGCTTTTGTTCTTCTGTCTCCATTGGTCTAAACAGGTTGTATCTTATTGGATTTTATTATGTATGATAGTATAAGCAAAAACTTTTAAAGACAAAGAGATTATACAGAAACCATTGTTCGTTTTCTGTTGGTTGATTCTAAATACCCTGTAATGCTGTCATTCTCTTAAATGATTTTACATTGTTTTGATATATTTGATGCTACAGTATACGAAGTTATACTCAAAGATTTCAAGGAAAGAGACAATATGGTAACTACTTTTATGTCAGGATTATCTTGTGGTGAAACACTGTTCTGCTTAAATGGTTATGTTTTGATCTGCGCTGTTTTGCTGTTATGCCCTCTTTTATCTCAATCTCCACTTCATTATTTACTTTTTTATTTTTATCCTTTTAATTAAGGGAAAAATAAATAAAAACAGGATATATTATAGTAACCCACTTTGACTTTCCATTATCTTGATTTAAAGCCCTGTATTACTCTCACCATCTTGTTTTTGACTGATGTCCCCCTATTCTGTTTTGCTTGATAGTACCAGGTTCGAAAGTTTAAGCAACAGCTGTGAAGATAGTGAGATTCATTATAACGCCCATTCTTGTTGACTATTATCTACTTTTGAAGACCTATAATGTCTCCAATGTTTTGGTTTTGTCGGTTTTGTTCTTTACTGTTTTGTTCAATTTTATTATAACTGATGATATAGGCAATTCTATTAGAGATAGTGGGAGGCATTATGGTAACCATTGTTGATCACCTTGTATTATGCTTTTACATTATCTATTATGTCCACCCTTTTGATTTGATTGACTCTGTTCTGTTATGTCACATTTGGTTCTACTCCATTCCAAAAAAGTAATAAGAACTGTGGGAGCAACAAAACCCAAAATGGGTAATTGTCATTGTACAAAAGAGAGGAAAAGAAAGTGCTCTAAATGATATAACTGCATGTATATATAAGTGTATAAGATAGATAATGATATCACTGAGTTTTGTAGGATCATTGAACAGAACTGTTTGCAGTCTCACTGTTGGAATGTCCACTTTACAAGCTTTAATTTTGTGACTTGAACAATTGTTTCTAAGATGACAATATGTAATCCATTAACTAGTGATTTCCTACTGTTTATTTTTTTCTGTAAATCTGTATAACTTGTACCCTTTCTCTGCTTTTTTTTTTCTCCTTAAATAAAATTAAAAAAAAAAAAACAATAGTGTGGGCTGGCAGAGATCCACCAGCGCCTGGGAGGGGGCCGCAGAGGGGCAGAGGAGGCTGGGAGTGTGAACGGGGTTCCAACGCGGCCGTGTGGCCAGGGAGCCAGGTCGCAGGGTCGGGGAGTAGGACAGGGAGCCGGGGTCTGGCGGGGTCCTTGCGGGCACCCCTAGGGGGCGCAGAGCCTGGGGGCAGCGGGGCCGAGGCTGCTGCAGCCAGGCGTGGCACGTGGGGCCCTCGGTCTTGGAAAGCAGCATGGGTCCTGGGTGCGGGCCAGCGGAGGCCCGCTGTAGCCGCACAGGGCCGGGAGACCCACCTGGGCCGTGCGGCGACAGTCAGCTTGGCACGGCCTGGGTGCCAGGGCTCGGCGTTTCCAGGCGCAGTGGCTGCTCCGGCCCAGGTGGCGGCCTCTGCGTGGCCTCCAACTTGTTGGGCTCCACGTGTCCCCGGGCCGCGAGGCGCGTGCCTGCTCCGAGCTGTCTAGCGCGCACCAGTGGGTACAAGGGGAAGGGCTATGCGTGGTCTGGGGTTCCCTGACCCCTTGGTGATTCGCCCTTGTGCCAGCCTGCGTTTCGGGGCCTCCCTCCTGCAGCCTGTCTCGGAGGCAGCCAAGGATCCCAGGGTCTCCTCGGAAACTGCCGACACCCCTAAACTAGCAATACCCATGCCTGTGGCAGGGAGTCCTCGGCCACCCACAAGCGCGCTCAGCGGGCGCAGGGGTGGGGTGGGGTTCCCTGATCTGCTCCACACTGCACCTCTAGCCCAGCCAGCCCAGCAAGCGGGTCCATCAGGGATCCTGAGCTCAGGCTTGGCCTGGGCGCTATCAAGCCGGACCCCAGACGGACTGTGACCTTGTGCCCCAGCTCTCACATTAAGCCCACTTCACAGGTGCAGGCGCGTGTGTGTGCGCGTGCATGACGACCCATGCAAGTGGGTCCCAAGCACTGGACATCACACAGGCATCTCCTGAAAGTTACATCAGTCTGAAAAAAAAGTTTTACCAAATGATATTTTCTAGGTGAGAGGAGAGTGGTTTTCCTGGAAAAGCTTCCTACTTAGTATGAAGACTCCTTTAAGAAGTGATGGTAACAGTTAACGAGAGTGGATTTCATTTGACCCTAATGCCACCCTGTCAAGCCTCATCTTCTGTCTTCCCCTGGACTCTGGGCTCAGGCCTTCGCCCATACACACTGTGAATTTGGTCTCCTCGCCCTGGGAGTGCAGTAAGGGCATCCTGGTGGCCCTGAGAGCCCTTGGATCCCCATGTCTGGAGCTAGAGGGACAGGGGAGAGAGTCGTGTTCCCCAGATGCCATTTAGAGATTACAGAGAGGGAGCCTGGCCCTGCCAATCAGGGTGACCTACCAGTAATTAATCCCATAAAGGTGTGTGAGGACCTGTGGGGCAAGTACAACAGGACACAGGCGTGGGGCAGCTGCTCTAAGGGAGTTTCCCACGCATCAGGGAGGTGGTCAGTGTTGTAACCCCATAATGTTGTTTGTTGTCAAGGGGGGGAGGGCAAGACGTCTGTAAGAGAGCGCTTTATTTAAGCTGGTACCCAGCGGCATAGCGAAGATGGAGTTTGCAAAGCTGTGCAACTAAATCAGAATTTTGACAGATTTTTATAACACATTAACCGAGTGACCTGACAGAGCAGGAATTAGGAAGGCGTTTGTTTCCCTTTGATTGAGGTCAGAGATGTTTCGCAGTTGGTAGTAGGCCTTTTTATTTTTTCTTAAGTTACAGCCCTTGATGAACAAAGGTTGACACATCATCATTTGTCTCTTCACAAAGGGAACAATGGTTGACACAGCAAACAGGTTACTAAGGTGATGATGCATGCAGTATAGCAGTATAGCACACCTCAGTTAATTTATAACTAATTTATAACAATGTGGTCGGTGCTCTGGGTACATGGTTACTAGGGTGGTAAGCATAGAGCATAACATTCCCCACTGATTTTTGTCAATGATCCAAATGATTGGCTCATGGAGTTTTCAAGCAGAGGTATCTGTTCATAAACTTGTGTCTTTAAAATCATGAGTTTTATGAACCTGATCTTTGACATAATTTACTAATTCATTTATAATGTAAGGTCCAATTGTTAAACAAGTAAGTGAGATTAACAGAGGCCGGAGGCCGTTGTGATTAACGTTGTTAACCAGGGAGATAGAGAAAACCATCATTCAAATCAATTCTGTTCTGAGATCTGCGCCATGTTGAAACTTAGGATGCTGGGAAGCCAAGCAAGCATCTCCCCTCCCTGGTAAGTGGCTATGATGTGGCAGACTGCAGCCCTTCCAGGGGGAGAACCACTAGTGTCTCCTGAGATTCGTGCCATGTTGGAACTTAGGACCCTGGGAAACCAAGCAAGCAGCTCCCCTCCCTGGTAAGCAGCAGTGGTGTGGCATTCTACAGCCCCTTCACGGGGAGAACCACCAGTGTCTTCTGAGATCCACCCTATGTTGGAACTTGCGAAGCAACCAGCCTGCCTCCCTGCTAAGCAATAGTGAAGCTACTGGTGCACGGTCTACAGTCACATATCCCACTTTCCTTACCCCGATTCTTCTGTCCCCCGGTTAGCAAATGGGAACCAGAAATCTGAGCATCACCTGGGAGATTGACCATAGCAAATAAGGGGGATTTCCTTCTACCATCTCTTTGAAGGCAAATATTTTTATAACTGTTTTGCTCTATTCTGATTAATGGTACTGCTCTATTCAATATTCTGTTTTGATAAGTTCTGTAATATTCTGTATTTCATTTTATTTTGATATCTGTGGTTGAAAGAACAACTATTGTAAAGATAATGAAATATACGGTGATACTTAATACTGTTATCCCAGTAACCTGCTGAGAAGTTCTGTACCAATTGCACTGTACGATTTTAGTTGGCTTTATTCTGTCTTGATCTGTTGTATTTTACTACTTTCAAAATAAAATTAAAAAACAAAGAAAAAAATAGTGTGATGAGTCATTTTGTTTACCATTAAACTTGTTGAGCATGAGGGGAAGGTTAGCATTTGCTTTTCTCTCAGTCCCACTCAGTTCCCTCAGGCATCTGTGATGCTAACTTCCCCCTGTGCAAAGTATCATTGCTGTGTTACAAGATGGGACATGAGCCAGGCATAATAGACTCAGGCCTGTAGTTCCAGCTACATGACAAACTGAAGCAGGAGGATCACAAGGCCAGCCCGGGCAACTTCTTGAACCGCTGTCTCAAAATTAAAAGGGTTGGGACTGTAGCTCAGTGGTTGAGCTACTTAAGTAGTATGAGGTCCTGGGTTCAGTTCCTAGTACTGCCTGCCTACCCGCCTCATTTTTTGCATGTATTTTTTTCTAAACTGCCTAACCTGATTCCTAAATGCAAGACTTTGGGGGGGCAGGTACTGGATTCAAATCCAAGGCCTCTACATGGCATTACTTCTCTAGCCCTTTTTAAATTTGGTTTTCAGGTATGTGCAGTCATGCTTGGCTAAGCCAAGTGTTCTTCACTAGTTCTAAACTAAAGGAACACTGTATGAGAGAATTTAAGGAACTTGCTGAGGGACAGTACTCTTTCATTACTGTGACAAAAGACCTGCTATCCACAAGTTAAATGAAGATTAGCGCACAGATTATAGAGGTTTAGTTTAGAGTTGCCTG